TTACTATTATTATCACTATCGCTACTATCATTATTTATTTTAATTTTAGATTTCCTTACATAAAAATAAAATGAATAATGACAGTAGCGCTAGTGATGATGATAGTAATGATAACACTAATAATGATAGTGGTGATAATATTAATCCTATTAATGACGACACCAACAATAAGGAATCTAAATCATCAACAGTAATTCCATACAAGGAAGTAACCTCGGAAGCTTTACGCAGAATTCTTAACAAAGCAGCCAGGAATAAAAGTGGCTGGCATTCAAACCCACAAACTCGATCAGAAACAAGCTTTGTCGGTTAAAGGATCCTGCCTGTGGAGCCTATAAAACAAAACAATTTAGTTTATCTAATGCCCTGCTAGAATGATTGTCAGGTCAAATACATAGGTGAAACTAGTAGAACAGAGGCAGTCAGACTAGCTGAACATAAAAGCTTAGCAAAATCTAGATTGATTGGCCCAAATAAGATAAGAAATCTAGAGAATAGTTCAGCTATACCACTCATTATGTGCAGTTACACACAACCATACAATAGGATGGATGAGATAAGATGACAGTTTTAAAATCTAATGCCACAGGGTGTAGGGAGGGAGAGATTGATAACAGAAGCTTTGTTTATCGATTCAACTGCAAATACATGTAATAGGAATGATTAATCACCTGTCCCTGATATCTGGAAAATTCTACTACCCGTTGTCAATGTAGTTGAAGATTGAACGATCAATTCATGGTTTTTGCTCAACCCCAACTCCTCCATATTTTTCGAGGGTCATAAATCCGGCAGTCATCGTCTCATTGTTCGCTGTTCAGAGGAAGATTCAATACTGTCGGAAGTATTACCGTGATTTATTCTTATAACATATATTTTTTACGGGTTGATCACGGATTGATATCAGTTAGAGAACCATTGAAAACCAACCAGGGAGTACTGGACAGCTGCTGTTTCATCCTAGTTTGGGAATCATCGGCAGTACGCACCCACTGGGATTCGAACCCGGGACCTTCCGGTTACAAGGCAAGCTCGCATACCATTCAGCCACTGGGACCCGATTCAATGGCTCGTGAATTCTAACTTCTACTAATTCGTGATTTAGCGCCACCCCAACCATTGTCGTTGGTGGGACATCGATCCACACACGTGACATCTAACTGGACCTCACTGGTCACGACTTTTCACTAGAACTCAGGAAACTCCAACCTGCAGCAAGTCACTAGCGATAACAATCCGTGATCAACCCGTAAAACATAACTAATCCTTACAAACCAAACTACAACATATATTCCTAGAGCTTGTGTAATAACCTTATTGTTGGTTATATGTTGGCGTAAGAATAAAGGATTCTTGAGTCGCCGATCAGTGTTCTCGTTTTCGCGTTGGTTAATACAAAGTGTTTCTGAAAGTCTTCGAGGGACAGCGTGAGGTCCGGCGTAGTAGGAGTTGGACATTGACAGTTTATGAGACTTGGCTGACACCCCTACGACAGATAGGAGAAAACAAAGAAAACTACAAAGCTCAAGTTTCAAAGGCGAATACAACTGATATGATTATGAACAATAAATTTTGTTTTAAATGTCGTCCAGTAAATAATACTGTTTCACTGTGTGATATATCTAATAAACAAACTAATATGGAGTTACTTACTACTACAGTGCCTAAGTTTTACACATATATTAACATGGATGCAGGTGAAAAGTACAGCATAAACAGAAGCAAATGGAGACGTGCAGTTGACGCCCTATGTTCCACTAGGAACCCAAGGGAACAGTAACGATAAACGATAATAATATACCTACGTCCAGATAGACGTACTTCCTAACAAAGGTTGCGATTGAATTCCATTTGCAGCCTTTAAGTTGAAAGTGGGTTTTTTCTGTCGATCTGCTGCTGTAGCAGGAAGGACGTTGACTTCAGCGCCTGCGTCGACTAAGTATTGGATCTGGCTGGCCACATCACGAGTATAAAAGAGGCAACTACTGCCACCCGCGATGACTACCGCCAACGCGTTCCGGAGAGATATTTTCTCGTATTATTCAAGACATTGCCAAAATTACAAGGTTTTCGGCAACGTTTCGCTTCCTGACCATAGGTATTGTGATATCAATACCAGTCAGCGTTCTTAAGTGAATTTGACTCGGATTTAGACCGACCACGTTAGTCTCACCGTTTCGAAAAGTTCGGATTACGATGGAAGGAGTTACAAGGTATGTTTAACCTAAGCAGCTGCTGGCTGGAGTTGCATAACTCCATCACTGCAGTGTCCCTACTCGAAGTCTGTTTGGTAACTGAGCACATTTCAGTAACTGGCCGTTTAGTTATTTCTAAAAATTTATCTGCAGAAACAGTTAAGTCATCTATAATAACACCCTGAAGTGTCACCAGCACAGCCTATGCTGACTGTGGCAGCTTGGATAAGAAAATTTCTCTGGAACATCTTTCATCAAACCGACGTTGGCCAATAACTTCCCTCGCTCTTGTAAACATGCTCACGGCTGACTGATCACCTAACTTGACGTAGCGCAATAATTAGTCCAGACGCTGTCGATCTGTGAGGTCGTTTCTCTTTAGAAGGGTTGCTTTAAGCACCTCATGCGAATTACTTACCTCTGGGCTAGACATCTGCACAGTTACTCATTTGCTGAATTCCCGCAGTAAGGCGTGAACAACTGCAAGGGGATGTGAACGTTGATCAGTCAACCCATGCTCACTAAAATCAGACTCAGCTGTCTGAAACCATGATTCAGCATTACCTAGCCAAAATGGTACCAGCTGAGTAGTTTTTCAGCTGAGCGAATACGGATATCCTTAGGAGTATGATCACTCTTGACGAAATATATGTAGTTTGGAAATAGTAAGAGAACAAATACAAAACTGAATGAACTCACCGGATTTGTCTGCGCATTTACTAAAGATGAAGTTCGTGGTAGGGCTCACCAGTTTAGAGGCTGAGGATATTGACGTTCTCGCACAGTACGAAGCATATTAGCGCATGATCTAATATCCACAACTTCTTGAGTATTCGTTCCGCGTAGACGAAAGGCAATGCAAAACACAGGAATTGACCGTCCAAATTACGAGACCAAATCGGAGTGAGAGATGATTGCTGCATGTAAATGATTCCTGTCTACAATGAGACATACAGTCCAAAGAATCATGCAAATTCCTGTTGTAACCTCTTATCGAGGGATGATCAGTCAACTCTCTGCAAAATACCTTCGCAGACTCTTTTTCACCTCCTTCGACTTTTCACTCCTCTGCATCTCAACCATTAAAGGCTCTTTGAAAGTCTACGATACTTACATGCGTGGAACGTATGGACTCAGACGTAGAAAAGAATTGAACCAGTGATACTGTAAATTTATTGCCATATAGGGATACTTTTTTTCTACCGTTTACTCTACTACCATTTGACATAATTCACACGCGAGACATATTGTGACACTCATACATATATATATATACTCACTGAACCGATATTACTGTTATTAACCTCCTAAAATGCCTGATAACTTTGTTTGTTCTATATATTCTAATTGTTCCATACTACATACACGCATATAGCACATTGCCATTATAAACTTCTCCCGATGTTAAATACTATTGCTGCAGTCAACTGTCTATGCTACCCTATGATTCATACATGCAAGCAATATTCACATTAATTAATTAATTAATGGAGACTTGTATTACATTTGATGATTCTATAAACATAAGTTATTAAAAATCATACTTTTGTACCACTCACGAATATCTCACATAACATATGGCATGAACAATCAATCACAACTACACATATATGTGCAAACACACCTAACTGATAGTGCTGCGGAAAAAGTACACATTACTGGGTTCAACATGGGCTACTGTGCTCATTTTTCTGCACTTGTGTCCATTATTTTTGACAGCCTGATTGAAGAATTTACCTTCATATATTTATTTATCTGTACGAAGGTTACTTATGTAATTTAGGAATCATTATTTTGTACTTATTTTCCCATTGATTTTGAGCGACTTTATTGCATATCCCCTCAGTGACGCTTGTTGCTATGTTGCTATTGGTTTCAAGTGGCCTTGGTTTTGGAAGAAGATTTAACTGATGTAATATTGTGATTTCATAGACATAACTCAGACTCATAGGTGAAAGAAAGTTATAATCCTGGAATAAAAACAAGTTTTTCATAAGGTAAGGAGGACATTATTTTTCAGTTTATTTGTATATATACTATCGTACATTTAGTTGCACTGAGTTCTTAGTGCAACTGTATGTGACTGCATTTACATAGAGTAATACACTACGAATAGTGATGAATGCTGTGGCCAATATTTTTGGGGAATTATTTACCAATACAAAACCGGGTTTCCGTGAAGTGCTGGTTCTCACATGCTGTTGTAGCGGTAAATAATTCCCCAAAATTATTGACCACAGCAATCACTCATTGAATTCTGACCACCACTGTTTAAGTCGACTTGTTTAGCTGAAGGCTTCCGGTCAAGCATCCCCGCCATTTGGTACCCCGTCGTGTCACGTGCACGATCACTAGCTAGCTAAGCGTTCGTCTGAAGGCTTGTTTTGGTCCCGAAATATATCCGAAGTTTGGACGATCAATTATTGGCTTTTGCTTTGTTTTCGGTACGCGAGAATAATTTAGAGGCGGTGTAAGATAATTCCGTCCAACACCCTAAACTGGTGAGCCCAACCGCGAACTTCATCCACGATAAATCCGCAGATAACCCCGGTGAGTTCGTTCCATTTTGTATTTGTTCTTGTACCATATATTATTCGACATAATTTTCGTCATGAGTGATCTTAGTCCCAAGGTCATCCGTATCCGCTCAACTCCTAAAACCATTCAGCTCGTACCATACTGGCCAGATAATGCTGAAACGTGGTTTCTGCTAGCTGAAGCAGATTTTTGTGAGCATGGGATAACCGATCAACGTTCACAGTTACTTGCAGTTATTCACGCCCTACCGCGGGAATTCAGCAAGTACGTAACATCACAGATGTTGAGTCCCGAGGTAAGTAACTCGTACGAGTTGCTCAAAGCATCCCTCCTCAGGAGAAACGTTCTCACGGACCGACAACGTCTAGATGAATTATTTCGTAACATCGAGTTAGGAGATCAGTCAGCCGTGAGCATGCTGACAAGAATGAAAGAAATTGTTGGCCAAAGTCAGTTCGACGAAGGACTGTTTAGAGAACTCTTCTTAACCAAGCTGCCACAGTCTGTACAGACCGTACTTGTGACACTTCAGGGTACTGTAATAGAGGACTTAGCTATTACTGCAGATAGGATTCTAGAGATTACCAAACGGTCTGTTCCCGAAATATGCTCGATGACTAAGCAGACTTCGAGTAAGGATCCTGCAATGATAGAGTTATGCAACTCCATCCAGCAGATGTTTAGGTCAAACATGCCTTCTAAATCCTCCGACCGTCGTCCTAAATCTCCTCAACGCAGGAACTCACGTGGTCGATCTAAGTCCAAACCACGTTCACTGAAAAACCCTGACTGGTGCTGGTACCACAACACCTATGGCCAAGAAGCGAAGTGTTGCCGTAAGCCTTGTAACTTCGGAAATGTCTCAAAGTCTGTGGGAAACTATCCCGCCGGCACGCGTTAGCGGCAACCGTCGCCGGTGGCACTAGCCGCCTACTTTACATCCATGATGTGATAAGCCAGACTCGATATTTAGTCGACACAGGCGCCGAAGTCAGCGTCCTTCCTGCTACAGCAGCAGATCGACAGAAGGAACCTACCTTCAACTTACAGGCTGCAAATGGAAAACCAATCGCAACCTTTGGTAGGAAATACGTCTATCTGAACGTAGGTTTACGCAAACCTATTCGGTGGATTTTCCTTCTCGCTGACGTTACAATGCCCATCATTGGCACGGACCTACTTAATCATCATGATTTACTCGTAGACGTCCGCCGAAAACGACTGATTGACAATACTACTAGTCTGTCTATCAAAGGCATCAGCTACATAGGCCCTAGTTTGTCACCCGTTAAGATAAAGGCAATCCTTGATCCAACTTTTCAACCTATTGTTGACAAGTATCCGGAACTTAATTGCCCGTCGAACGACCTACCGTGCATAACCAGCAATGTTATGCACCACATCATTACCACAGGACAACCTGTGACATCTAAAGCACGACGATTAGCTCCTGACAAACTGAGAATCGCCAGGAATGAATTTGACCATATGCTTACCCTTGGCATCATTCGACCTTCGAATAGCCCATGGGCATCCCCACTTCATATGGTTCCGAAAAAGGATAGCAATGATTGGCGACCCACCGGTGATTACCGGAGAGTGAATGCCAAAACAACCCCTGATTGCTACCCGTTGCCTCATATACACGACTTGACGGCAACCTTATCCGGCGCGACTATATTCTCCAAAATCGACTTGGTTAAAGCGTATAACCAAATCCCGATGGCAACAGAAGATATCCCGAAAACGGCTATCATTACGCCTTTCGGACTTTTTGAATTTCTACGTATGCCATTCGGTCTCCGGAATGCAGCCCAAACATTCCAACGCTTCATTGACGAAGTATTTCGCGGTCTCGACTTTGTATACGCATACTTAGACGACTGCCTCATTGCCAGTCCAGACAAGGAAACTCACCTTAGGCACTTGGACTTGGCATTTGACAGGTTACGCCAACATGGTGTTACCATTAATATTCAAAAGTGTCAAATCGGTGTTGACTCACTCGACTTTCTGGGTCACACTATTGACTGCAAGGGCATTCGCCCACTGGCTACTAAGGTCGAGGCTATACTGAAACCGGCTTACTTGGAGGGTAATCCTATTAGCATAGAGCTCAACGTACCCCAAAATCCACAAGTAACAGAAGATCGTTTAGACATCGATGAAGTCACTAGCACAGCGACAGCTACCGAACCTTCTATCGAGCCTCCCAAGAAAACCCGTTCTGGACGCACCGTAAGGTTCCCAGAATATCTTCACACTTATTTAATATAACGAAGTCGTGTGATTCACGCAACTCATTCGTTTGTGGTACTGATTATTTTTTTTGACGTATCAATTTTTTTTATATACAGTACCACCGAACACAAAATTTTTTTTCAACAGTTCATGTAACATACACAAAAAAATTAATTAGATGTATTTTTTTTGATGTTCTGAACTTAGCATTATTTTACTGTATAGTAAATGCACATCATTTTTTTTAACCAAAAAGCTGATTTGGTACATTTTCCTCGACATGGTTCTTAGCGTTCTTGTTTTCTTTTCCAGGTGCGACGGGCACTGGACAGGAAACAAACGAAGCACGAAATCCAACGAACAAAAACAAGGAAGCTATGTACAAACACCCTATTAGCATAGGCAGACAAACCAGTAGGCATACGACCAAGCCGCTCGGAAGATTTTTTTCACCCGAAAGGGAACCATCGAGTTTTTTTACTTCCGGCTGGTTCTGTCTTAGGGTCCTCACGACCCCACTAGGGGGGGAGTGAGCTGTAGCGGTAAATAATTCCCCAAAATTATTGACCACAGCAATCACTCATTGGATGCTGACCACCACTGTTTAAGTCGACTTGTTTAGCTGAAGGCTTCCGGTCAAGCATCCCCGCCATTTGGTACCCCGTCGTGTCACGTGCACGATCACTAGCTAGCTAAGCGTTCGTCTGAAGGTTTGTTTTGGTCCCGAAATATATCCGAAGTTTGGACGATCAATTATTGGCTTTTGCTTCGTTTTCGGTACGCGAGAATAATTTAGAGGCGGTGTAAGATAATTCCGTCCAACCCCCTAAACTGTCATTAACTCTTGGAACCGACTCCCAGAAGACGTGGTGACCACAATACTAACTGGTTCACTCAAGAAGGGCTTGAACATGCACAGAATCCCCCTAGAGCAGGATTAACAAAGGCTTTAAGACCTCTATCCCTAACCAATAAATCTGAATCTAAAATGATATAAGAGCGTGCAAAATCCTTTCCCTTTCCACAGTTCTCACGTTACTAGTGTTAATCTTAGGGGAGATACTAAGATGAAACTTCTGAATCATAAAAGCTTATCAAAAAAACTCAGTACCATTTCATGTAGATCTTGCTGACTGATTGTACATGATACTGCGTTTGTGTGCATAAAATATCTTTGGTTGTTAAGGCCGTAACCTTGACGGATGTTTTATCAGTGAAGAAATCATGACCATACTTGTTGTATTTTTCCATTGGGATTAGTTTATTTTCTCGCAATTGTCTGCATATTTCGTCTCATCACTAATACAACTTTAATTCGTGACAGCTACCCTTTGGAATTTTCTATGTTTTGCGTGACTGGTTTGGAGTAATTTTAGCGCAAACCGTGTTCTCAATTATTGTATAGAAACATGGTGATTATCACGTTACCTTCGCCTTTGAGAACGCAACACACTGTGAACCGACGCTTTCTGAGACATATACTATGAGATCAATTAACATGGAATGCATTCTATGGAAGCTGCATGCATCATTTCCCAGGGCATCAATCATATGAGCTTTCGAGGCTGATATTCACGTTGCTTTAACTGTATGAGCATCAGCAATTACCATTTACATGGCTTATCGGCCACTTACAATCTTAATTTCGCGTAGTGTGATAGTTAACAATATTAACTGGGTTTAAAGCTACAGACGTAGGCTTTAACCCATAGCTTACCCATTTAGGATGACCCGTTTAATAAAGTTCATACCTACTTTTTGGCTATGCTACTTTCTTTCGGCTTGTTTGTTATGCAAGCATGACTTTTTCGTCGTAAATCTTACGCCCGTAAAGTTTCGTAATTCCTGTAATTTACTACGTCCACTACATTTGTAATATTGCCAACATCTCTATAGATTTGTTAGTTTTTACATTTGGTTTCCAACTGTATGGCTTCCAGTAAATTTAGCAGCAGGTAACTGACACAATTCAGCAATATTAGTGTTAGCATCTAGTGGTGATATTTGATATTGACACAGTAAGACCACTTTTACTGTTGTCTAGCCTTTAATGCGTGTATTTACTAATGTTATCACAAAAAAATGAAACCTGAATTACGCATTATTGAGTTCATCAGACAGCTGGTGTCGTGACGGTACTTAATTTAAGTATGAACGTTAGTAGTGGTTCTAAAGCGATGTCGTTAATTTTTTACATGTACACTTAGAGGCCTTACCATCCAGTAATTTCGTATTTTAAGTTTGCGTATGTCTAATGTATTTACTTTATAAACCTCTGTTTTGAAATCCGAGTTTCAGAGTATTCTCTGCAGTGACGTTAGACCTAAAAATAACAGTTGATTGTTAAGGTACAATTTAACGTTTTCCTTGTCGCTTTTCATTTTCATCACACTGTTTAGCCATATCAAATTGGTTTCGTATTTCAGGAAATTTCTTCCAAAAGTTGGATCAAGTGTGCTAGTCTTGTTATCCTGACATGCCAAACTTCCTGCTTGATTTTATTAATGCGTGCTTCGCGAACACAGCAAGACACCGAATTATATATGACTTCAACAGTCGTCCTGTGTAGCGAATTCTTAAAACTCTTGCTGTCTGCGTGTTTAGTAGTATTTCGAGAAGGTAAGAAGTGCATAAATGTGTGATTTTTTCTTTTTTTTTTCAAACATCGGTTTAATCAACATTTTGTACCATTAATTATATTTTATTTTATCGTTTAATGAATATACATGTCTGAGACCCAAAACTTGAAATTTTTATGCTTGATCGTTTACAATGTCTTGGGTGCTCTTCTCTGAAGAGATGGGTAGGTATGAAGCTTTCCAGTGCTCATAGTCTGTTTCATTTTGGTTCTTGACTGCTTCTCCTTTGAAATTAATTAAATCCTGACAATGCCAATTCTAAGTCCTATTTATGGTGATTCATTATGACAGGTATTCTTGCTTTCTGTCTTGTTAGTATTCAAAACATCAAGTATTATTCCTCATACATTCACACCTTCATATTATGCTATCAGTCACGACAGTCCACGACAAGTTGGAGAATTTTGTGATGGTATCCATCGCAACCTGTCAGCTAATCATGTTCAGTAATGCAGTGAAAGCTACCGGATAAAGAGTGACAAGATTGAAAATATTTTTGGACGTGTACACAGAATTAATTAATTAATTAGCAGAGGCTTTAAAGCTAAATTTTCTTTGTTATTATTGTAATCAGTACGAAGAGACTAGGGAATTTCCTGGTTGCCTCCTAATTGACAACACAAGGTTGACCTCCTTATTTGACAAGTCTAGGTGTAAATTGCTGTAGCTTATTCACATTGCGATCTACATACATCTGAAATAATTATAGTTAAAGCTCCTACCGAATTCTGTATACTGTATGTTGCTACCCCAACTGACTTCAGCGACTCAGGAATTGACTTGTTATCAGGAAATAATATCGTTGATTTAATGTATGCCGATAATATAGTGGTCCCAGGTGAAGATACTGACAAAATGTTAGGTGGTATAGCAGGGTGAGTAATATTGAGGTGTGTCATCGGTTGAGTGTTAGTTAAGGAGGGAAAATCAAAGGATGAGGTTGTGAAATTACATCGATTGAGATGGTTAGGACATGTGTTAGACACTCCTAGTCGTAGTCTTCCTCGACGGGAAATGTTAGCTGAGCTGACATAGGATGAATCAAGTTGGAAAATAAATAGTTAGCTAGTGATGGTCAAATCTAAACACGGCTTCATCAGTCAATGAAATCCATAGAAGTTTAAGCCAGACATGTAGAGAAGTGTAAACCACTAGTCTGGTTGGGGTCCTCGGGATGGACGGAACCAATGACAACTGGAGACAAAATCGTCGTTGTCAATAGCTGGTGCAAATGCATCCACTCTGTGATTTGTCATATCCAGTCGAAAGCTATTGTTCTTCCATACTACTGTTCTTTTTCGCTCACTCACATTTCTGTTTATTATCTATCTCTCTTTACTCTCTTTTCTTGCTTTGTGTGATACATGTAGGTAGTTTAGGCAACTCGAACTGCTGCACATTTGTGCAAAGTTCTATGTTGAGACCAGTCAGTCATCATTTTGACAGCTGTCAAATGTAGCGAATGGCTGACATTTTCATAAAGTTATATGGGGAAATAACATCTCATCCCGTGTCTATGGCTCCTGGTACCTTTGTTTTAGTATTCTATTTCATCACCTATTTTTCATCGTATTAGAGAGTTGGTTGATAAATTATGAACCTAAGTTATGCTCAAAATATGATACGTATCGCCACAGTTTACCCCGTGATTTGCCTTTATCTGGCTTAGCCGTTGCTTACAGACTGCAGAGTAGTACTTTTTTTCACACTATATGAACAGTCACTATTTCCTTGGCTTATTAGCATGGCTCACCAATTCAATTTTATTTGCTCAACTCTGGATCGCATTTGATGTATGACGACCTGTATACTACCCGGGATGGTTAGATAAATTGAAGTTCTTTTTCCATGACCCGTAACATGAAAGTGAATACCTAAGTAAATTAGCTGCCCCATATCTTTGACTTGGGAAAGGTTATGAGTAATTTCTTCCATGGCCTTTTTCCATTTCTTTGAGAACGAAGTTTGAAGCCATGAAGTTTCATTAGCTGTGGTGTCCTTCTATACGGCGTGTGGTTGCCAACCTCATGCCCATCCTCTCTTCCTCAGACTTACTGTTAGCTGGCAAACTAGGTGGATTGTTAGAAGTGTGTTGGTTAGGAACTGAATCCCGAACTGCGTGCATACCTGGCAAGCACTCTACGACTAAACCACTGACGCACTAGAAAATCACTTGATCATGATTATTTGCATAATTGACGACAACGCACAGCAGTTACCAGAAAAGAGTTACTGTAGCAGTTCAAGTTCGCAACACTCCGTGAAAAGGCTAGCTGTCTTCAACGTATATGTTTGCATTATATCTCACGTTTTAAGTGGTAGAATATGGTGAGTAATATTGAGATTAGAATAGAATAGAATAATAACAGCTTTATTCCAAACGGTATTTGTGGTACAGGTATGGAATTTTCAGCGTGCATTACAGTATATTGCATCTAATTACCTCATAAATTATATAAGATTTTTAAAAATCAAAGATAAATAAATAAAAATAAAATAAATAAGTTATAAATGAATAAAATAAATAAAAATTAAAAATTAAGAAAAAACAGCGTAGAGTATTACATTTTAAACAATGCACCACAGGTTATGAAATATAAAGTTGATGTGTGATAAAAGATGAGAACAACAGTGTAATAGTAACGAGGAAAGGAAAACAAAAACTAATGGGACTATTTGTTAGAGTGCCGCAGTAACTTGATCGTGTCATACCTAACGGATTTCTCATCACATAACAGCTGTGCCAGATATGGTATTGTAGAGTTTTTGTATTTGGTGGTCCTAGCATATAGCCGCCTATAGCTGCTTCTAGTTCTACCAGATGAAATGCAAGGAGATAGATGCGTATAGAGAGGATGCTCGGGGTCCGACAATATTGTATTCGCTAGTTTCTTACATGACATAATATGTCTATCTACAATAGTGTTCACCAGTTGGTTTAACGATATCCCACTTGCCCTACTAACGGCTTTTAGTGCCCTTCTCAGCGAAGCAAAGTCTTTCTTAAGTAGTCCAGGAAAGACTAATGGGGAGCTGTAAAGGAGGATGGGTAGAATACAAGAATTTACAAACTGAGAAAGTAAAGATTGCTTTATACCAGACTGCCTAAATTTCCTAATGTAGAACGTTAAGCGAAACATCTTTCTAGTAACTAGCAAGATGTGGAAAGACCAGGAAAGATAGGTGGAAAAACTCAGCCCAAGGTATTTGACATTAGATGTATTTTCAACCTCTGTGCCGTCAATGATAGTGAGGCCATGTGAGCTAACTAGTTGCTGTAGGTCACATTTACGTCTGAAAGTGAAATTGACTACCTGACATTTGGACGGATTAAGCTTAAGTCCGTTTGAAGAGGACCACTGACTAATTTCTGACAGAAAGTTATTTAATTTGGAACAATCTGACTGAGAGTTGACAGGCATAGAAACCGAGAGGTCATCAGCATACCTAACAAAAGTGGCTACATCAGAATGAGGCAAGTCATGTAAGAAAAACGAAAACAGAAAGGGAGAAAGAACAGCACCTTGAGGAACACCAGCTAAAGTAAGTGAGGTAGTGGAGGACTTTCCATTGTAGACGGTGTACTGCTTCCTATCAGGAAAATAGGAATGCAACCACTTATTTGTCCAGCTCTCAGCCTGTGTTGCAGCAAGCTTACTTAGCAAGAGAGACCTGGGAACAGAGTCAAATGCAGATGTGTAATCAAGGAATGCACAGCGAACGTATTTAGCTCCTTTATCTAAACTAGGGACTATGCTATGGTGGAGGACAACAGCGGCATCTAACGTACACCTACTATGTTTATAAGCAAACTGGTTGGGGTCGTTGAAAGGTTTTAAAGAGGAATCAAGATTAAGTAAAATAAGTCTTTCCATAACTTTCAAAAAGGGTGAGGTAATTGCAATGGGTCTAAACTTAACATTAGGTCCACTTGTTGATTTAGGCACTGGAACAATCTTGATATTTTTCAATGATTCAGGTATGATACTTTTGGAAAACGATTCGTTGAAAATGTCAGTTAGCGGGGAACACAAGATGTCGGCACACTTCTTAAGGATAACAGTAGGAACACCATCAGGACCAAGAGACTGAGTAGGCTTGAGAGATTGAAGACACTTGAGGACATCATTCGTGTTAAAGCATGAGAAGCAGTCATTGTTTACACTATTTGAGTTAGGAATCATAACATTTGCTGGGATACATATAAAGGATTCATTAAGCATGTTAACATCTACAGAAATATCATTCATCATTTGCTTGCCACCTGTGATTTCCTTCAATAACTTCCACATATTAGATGGGGATTTATATGAAAGAAACTTCTGGTTATAGAGAGCATTCAATCTTTGTAATTCAAGCGTAGGTAGGTAAATCAGTCTATGAATTTATGAAACTACATTGACAGAGGTAGCTAGGACGTGTGCTGCATATGGACAGTAACCGCCTTCCTCGAGGGGAAATATCAGCTGACAGAGAATCAAGTTGGAAAAGAGTTACGTTTGGTCAAACCTAAACCTGTCATCAATCCGTAAAGTGTGTTTAACAGTTATTTTGAGCCTCGTAGAGAATCGTTGTTTGCCTGGTCGAGATGCTAAGAACCAGTCACTGAAGACTGCTGATGGTATGACTCAAAATCGTTTTCAATGGTGCAGACGCATTCGCTCTCTATGCCTCTCAATATGCACTATATCGACAATGTTGATAACCTTCTCCCTCACATTTCTGCTTCTTATAGTTCTTTTAAATGTTACTTTTCTCTTTTGTCGACCTTCATGAGCTACATAGGGTGTAGCACACTTGAACTGGTGCACTTTTGTGCAAAGTTGTAGATTACAACTCAGTCAGATGCTTGTTGTTGTTGTTATTGTTGGTGGTGGTGGTTAGGTATTTTCATCACCTCTGTCGTCACCATCTTCACTTGGAATTGTGTAATTCCCTTTAAATCTTTTAGGTTGTTTGACATTAGCCATAAATTATCCATCCATAAAGAACACAACTATAATAGAGTCATTTTGTCTGTCCATTTCACCTTTTCGCTCCCCATAGTCTGTTTCATAAGTCAGTCCAGTGCTCCTTAGTCTTCAATGCTTCTGCGGTTGATGTCAGTTCTTAACTAGTTATGTACTTAAATAAGGCATGATATATGTTGAGCAATGTTAATTTAGAAACCCTTTCATGACCAGTAATAAGACTGCTTACACACACACAATTTCACGACAAACCTGATCTGAAATGTCAACATCGACATATTTTCATAAACGAAATTCTAAAACACAACCCACAGTTTCTATAATTCAGAGGCTTCGCTAAACGATGCCCCTTGTTACCTATAGCAATAATTCATTAAAACATTCAGGTCATTTGTAAATTAAAATTCACAACAAAATAAATCGGTCAAGGCTATATGAGACCACTACTATATATATATATATATATATATATATATATATATATATATCGATTACTAGATGTACAGTTTCCAGATATGCATATGCCAAAGCAATTCAAAATACAGATTAATTAATTGTTTTAGAAGTCGTATAATTCTAAGGTCATTAGGACCTATACAACATCATGTATATGTGGTTTAACGGATATAGTAGATTACAAAGAAAGGATGTGCACTTGCCCTGTTGAGAACGCTTTTAAACAATATCATAGTTACTCTTCAGTCATTGTCTCTACCAGCATCCTAAGGGTCCTTAACTAGACAGTAGTCTACATCTACCTACCTGGTTATTATTATTATCGTTTCCTTTAGTTCCTAGAAGAACATAGGGCTTCAGCCATACGTCTACATTGCGTTCGGTTCTCTGCCAACGTTTCCACCTGGCTCCACGTCTGCCCACATGGCCTAATAGCACCCAGCTAGGCTGTCTTGCTTATTACCCATAAATCCTATAGTAAACACAGCATAAGCTATATAGACGATATGAGCGTGAGTTAAACGGTTCTCATGGCTCGCTTATATGACTGTGTATGGTTTTCTATAGTCTTGGCAGACGTGTAGAAGCTATTCGCATGCTAAATTGGTTGGCAGGGATAACGATCTCATTAAATTTGGTGGCTGCTGGCTTCGTTTATAGTGGCCTATGGTCATGCTACTTTTGCATATAATAATACGTTTGGCCGGTCTTGTATGCGAGATGAGTTCTATTGGGCTTGTCTATGCAGCGCATAATTGATTGACGCGATCAATGATCGGCGTAACAATGCTTACCTATGCATTATTATGCATACTAACGGTGCGAATGGTCCACCGAGGGAGAGGGCTCTCGAGTGGTTGCGCCACAGGATGATCCTGCATGCCGGTCTCGTCTCGCAAGAGGCAGGGATGGGTGTGTTTAGTTCTCTTGAAAACTGATACCCAGTCAATGGGTGTATCATTGTGTGAATAAACTGGTTGATCCTTCCAGTAGTCATATGCTTGTCTCAGAGATTAAGCCATGCATGTTTAAGTACATACCTTAAAAAGGTGAAACCGCGAATGGCTGATTAAATCAGCTATGGTTCCTTAGATCATATATACTACAGGGATAATTGTAGTAATTGTAGAGCTAATACATGCAATTATGCCCTGACCCGCAAGGGAACGGGTGCATTTATTAGAAGAGAACCAACGAACGTCTGCCCACATGCTTTCATATCCCCTTCCCATGAACTCCTCCCCCATGTCAACCTCGCACTAACGACCAACTCACTGCTTCCCATTCGGCTTTGACTCGAGCGATGGCCTGGCGTGTGATGTCACCTGATGGTTTGTTTTCTCAGAGTATGGCCAATCCCCCTCTTTTTCTTCCTGCATATTTGTTGCACATTTGCTTCTTACTGAGTTGGTTCGCTCCAAGAGGTCCCACCCTGTTGCTGATCGTTTTAGGCCGGCCATCTGATCTTGAGTATTGAGCAAAGATAATAATAATAGTAATTTTTCTTTTATTCCAGAAACAGTACTAGTGATACAGTGTGGAATTTTCAGCACATATCTACAATATTTCATCTAATTTCATCGTATATTTAGAAGGAGTATTACAAAAAAATGTAGAAAACAAACAACAAAAACCCCAAAGAAACACAAAAATAACAAAAAATGCAAATAAAAATACCAAGTAGAAAGGAAGATAGACACCAATTATGAAAAATATTTCAGTATCTGGTAGTGGAAGCTATGATATGTGTATGCGTGGTGAACAGTAACAGCTATAATCATACAAGAAGTTATGAAATGTTCTTAAGAATGTTTATAGCCAAGATAATCAGTTGATTTGATTGAACTACACTAAACAATCATAAAATAAACATTTCAGGGTTTTTTATTTCTATTGTCAGCACTAATGCAGTGTTTGTAGTGGTAGTGTGAGTAATCATGCATAATACAAAAATTTTATGATAGTGATAACGACGTTCACAACCAAGATTGTCAGTTTTAATATTGCCGAACAAAAAAAAAACAATCACAAAACTAATATTACATGATGGTTAATGACAGGACAATTTTGTAATACTCATAGAGATAATATAGTTGGGATCAGTAGATACACAAAAGAAAGAATAGAATAAAGAATAAAAAAGTAAACCAGCGATGATAATTTTAGGTAGCTACGTTTAAGAAGGTTGTTCACTATAGAGTACAAATAAGAGAGTATAAGGGGGAAATAAGAAGGGCGAAAATTATGTTATTAACAACAAAGCAAGTCATAGGTTGTGCGCTTAACACTGTCTCTGTCACTTAAAACACGGGTCAAATATGGTATCGTTGAGTTCTTATACTTGGTTGTACGAGCATATATTATTTTGTACTGATTTCTGGTTCTACCTGATGAGATGGAAGGGGAGAGTTGGGAATAGAGGGGATGTTGGGGGTCAGAGAGTATGGTTTTAGACCATTCTTCGCATGTATTCAGATGCTTATCTACTAATGTAGTGACGTGCTGACATCTGTTGATGGTAGTCTGTAGTTTGTTCAAAGTGCCCTTCGTGACGTGGCGCCAAGTCGCTGATCCGTATAGTAAGTAGCACTGACTTCACATTGGAGTTGAAAATCCGGATCTTATGATATTCATGCTGAGGAGTGCTGAGTGTTGACCTCCACACAGACTTGAGAGAAATGAAAGCTAGCCTTGCTTTCCCGATGATCCTTGCATCGACGATATCCTCATCAGTTCTCTCCGCCTACCTGATTGACTCATACCAAATGGATATTTATAATCCATATAATACTTGAAGGCGAATTGTGTAACTACTTCTTATTTTTTTTTTTAGGTAACCTTCAACATGGTCTTTCATTAATGTACACTCAAATCTTTATTCAATACAAGGATACAGTACAAATTCTTATTCCATCAACACTGTATGTTATCCAGAATAATCTGTTGTATTTTGCTATATCACGATTGAATGCTGTTTTATATCAGATACTTTATCAGAGTAAAATTTTCACTACTGCTGTATTCATGATAATATTATTGAATCAACGTTTGCGTTCACTTCAATGGTTCTCTCTGCTACTGCTGAGTGCAGGCATTGTCTTAACACAGGTGAGATTTATTTATTTTTCTTTTTTTTGATTATTATACTGAGTAATATTCAGTTTGTGAATTGTATTGTTCAAGCGACAAAGTTTGATTACTTAGAACTGTTCATTACATTCATTACATAATAATAAAGGTTTTTAAGTGTTGGTTTGTAGCGATTTGATTGGTTTCAGGATTTCATCATGAGCTGACATTAGTTAGAGAACCATTGGAAAATCAGCTGGGAGTACTGGACAGCTGTTTCGTCCTAGTTTGGGACTCTTCAGCAGTACGCACCCACCGGGATTCGAACCCAGGACCCTCTGGTTACAAAGCGAGCTCGTATACCATTAAGCCACTGGGACCCGATCCAGTCGTCCTTGAATTCTAGAAGTTAGAAGTCAGCTCATGATGAAATCCTGAATAAAGGTTTTTTTTGTATTTCCCAGTGAATGAATGAAAAAAACAAACAAAAGGATGTTATTGTTATTACTGACGTTTCGCTATTCAATGCTGCTGTTAATAGCTCTATCAAAGTGGATATTATTAAACCAGAATTTACAAAATCCACTCAGCTTACATATATAACAAACAACTTAATCATCGTTCCTCAGTATGCGGTCATTTTGGCGTTGTCAAATTGGCCGAAAGGTAAAGATAATGTAACCAGGTGTAGATTGGTGCATTTGATGAGCGTACAAAATTATAAAAGCAGCGTGTGTTCAAATAATGAAATTGCTTATCACAGTCGTGCTGATTTTGTCATTTCATAAGGGAGGGTGGGGGTATTGTAACCAGATCAAATTCCGTTTTAGTCGATCATTCCTATTCAGACAATTTGGATTTCATTTGATGTGAAGTGCTTCTGATGAAGTGGGACGTTCTTTGTGATTTTTTGAAATGCTTTTTCTAAATTATTTCAATATTGTCAAAATCAATTTTGTGGCTATGGCTGGTGATTTTTCAAGTTTTTCTAGTTCAACCGAACAGATGCTATGCGGTATTGATTTCTTCTGATTTGGATTTCTCGAGATGTTTGTCCGATGTATATCGCATCACATTCTCAGCATTTTATTTTGTAGACAATTAGAAAGTGTATCTTTAGGGATTTAGTCTTTTACACGAACAAGGTTGCTTTGCAGTGTATCTTATGTTTTGAAGAAAACTGATGTCGAGCTAATTGAGTACTCTTCTGATATCGTCTGATGTCTCTGCTCTATATAGAATGGCAGCTGTTGAGGCTCATGTTTTCGGAATACGTTGTCGACCATACTTAATGTCAGTGTTGATTTTGTTGATGAAGTTCCTTGGGTAGTTGTTTTGCTTGAGAGTTTCAGTAATTTTTGATATTTCTTCTTTTTCATTCGTTATCAAAGTGTGTTCGTCTAAGAAGACTTGAAACAACTGATACCTTTGCGCTGATGGGGTGTGATGATCCGAAGTCTAAGTATTTATTGGAATGGGTTTTCTTCCTGAATACAGATATACTAAAATGTCCATTTTCCCTCCTCTTAACTAGGCAGTCTAGAAATGGTAGTCCACCGACGTCTGATTCTCCTACCGAAGTAAACTGGATTTTGGGAGATAGATTGTTTATTTTCTCCAAGAATGACCTGTGTAGATCTCGTTTTAGCATTACAAAAGTATCATCTACATATCTGAACCATATTTTTGAAGTGAGTATGTTTGAGATGTAATCTTCGAATCTATTCACGGTAAGATCAGCGACTACTGCAGAACCTGGTTGCCTTATCTTTACCAATTGGCCAATTTGACAACGCAAAAATGCCCCAATACTGAGGAACGATGATTAAGTTGTTTGTTATATATGTAAGCTGAGTGGATTTTGTAAATTCTGGTTTAATAATGCCACTCTGATAGAGCGATTAGCAGCAGCATTAAGTAGCGAAACGTCAGTAAAAACAATAATATCGTTTTGTTTGTTTTTTCATTCATTGGGAAATACAAGAAAACCTTTACTATAATGAATATCATATACCTAATGTCCAAACTTTTTCAAACTGTCAAAAGTGAACTTGGCTTGGATATATGTAACTGTTAACATATTAAAATTAAATTGACCTAAGTTTTGTTGAATAAGGTATGCTACACTTTTCTTATCTAATGTATTTAGACAAAGCAATAAGAAAACATAATCTGCCTGAATCGGCTTGTAATGTATTTACTCAACTCATTTCGAACAATCTGATCACACAGGAATATGGATATATGAAATTAACAAAGAGTTAAGAGGTGGAAAAATAAACTACCTAGGTCAAGTTAAAAGGACAGATTGAAGGTGGAAATACCAATATGAAGAGATCACTAAACCAAATAACAGAGGCAAGAGTGTGATTGGATGGAGGATTTCATCATGAGATGACATCAGTTAGAGAACCACCGGGAACCATGGGAGTACTGGACAGTCGTCCTGTCCTGGTTTGGGACTCTTCACCAGTACGCACAAACCGGGGTTCGAACCCAGGACCTTCTGGTTACAAGGCTAGCGAGCTCGTAGACCATTGAGCCACTGGGACCCGATCCGGTCCAATAACCAGTCCATGAATTATAACTTCTGCCAATTCACGACATAGCGTGACTATTTCGCAATGTCTTCTTCGATGAGTTACTACCTCATCTTCAATCTGCTGTACCCTATTGCTCACAGCTTCCCACTAGAACCCCAGGTTAACTGCCTGAATAGGAAGCCAAAGTATACTTTTCACTAATCAACCGCTGTTTATGTATGTACAGTTTATATTCGTTAACCAATCACTGAACGTGTGACTTCAGTTTACACTAAACGATATGAAATTATTATTACTACTATTATTATTGTTATTATTTTTATTATATACTTTAATTCCTAGAGGAACATAGGGCTTCAGCTGCGCGTCTCCATCGCAATCTGTTTTCTGCCAACGTTTTCAACCCACTCCAAGTCTGCCCACATGCTTTCATCTCCTATTCACATGACCTCCTCCAAGTCACCCTTGCACTGAGGACCAACTCGCCGCCCGCTTTCCTTCCGGGTTCCAGTCGAGCAATGGCTTGTCTAGTGATGTCACTTGATGGTTTCCTCAGCGTATGGCCAATCCATCTCCATTTCTTCCCGCCTATTTGTTTTACAATCGGTTCCTGGTTGGTTCACCCATTCCCAGATATCCCTGTTGGTGATCTTTCCTGACTGGCCATCTGATCTTGAGTATTGAGCTAAAGCAACTGTTTATGAAGGTCTGAAGTTTGTTCGAATTGCTCTTCGTGACGCGGCGCCAAGTCTCTGATCCGAATAGTAGCACTGACTTCACATTGGAGTTAAAAATCCGGATCTTATTATATTCATGCTTAGCAGTGCTGTTGACCTTCATACAGACTTAAGAGTAATGAAAGGTTGTCTTGCTTTTCCGATTCTGGCTTTGATATCTTCGTCAATTCCGCCTGTAGTTGAAACGATGCTTCCAAGGTAGGTGAAGGAGGTCGTTTCTTTCAGAATGCTCCCATTTATGCTGATTGCTGTCTGTTGTTGTTGCTGTTGGCCAGAAATCCTCATCACCTCTGTTTTATCTATGTTCACTTGATGTCCTATCTTCTCTGGATGCTTCTTCTGTCAGCTTGTTGCTTTTCACCTGCATATCTTCCAGTTTGTGGGAAATCAGACATACATCATCGGCGAAGTCCAGATCCTCCAAGTTTTTTGTGTGAGTTCATTTTATGTCTGTTTCCTCATTGCCCGTTGTCTGTCGCATTATCCAATCTACTGCAATCAGGAAAATCATTGGCGATAGTAAACAGCCTTGCCTCACTCCCGTCCTCACTTCGAAGGCTTCCGTAAGTTTCCCGTTGTGGATTACTTGGAATGCAGCATTGTTGTATAACTGTTGGATGAGATGTATAATTGTCGATGGGACCCCGTAGTAGCGAAGTAGTTGCCAAATCACCTCTCGATCGACGCTGTCGAAGGCCTTCTCGAAGTGGATGAATTTGAGATAGAGAGGTGACTGCCATTCCAAGCTTTGTTCAATGATGATCCGTAGAGTGGCGATTTGATCAATACATGATTTGTTCCTCCTGAATCCGGCCTCTTCCGGTCGAAGTTTTTCATCCAGGTTGGCGTGTTTGACTCTCTGCAGGATGATTCGGCTTAATATTTTGCTTGGAATGGACAGAAGCATAATTCCACGGCAGTTTTTACATTGACTTAAGTCTCCTTTTTTTGGTAGTTTGAATAAGTGGCCTTTCTTCCAATCCTCAGGTACTTTGCCTTCTTTCCACACCTTCTCCAGTAATGGCGTCATCAAGTCTGCTGTTGTCTCTGGGTCTATTTTCAAAGCTTCTGCTGGGATTCCATCTGGTCCTGCTGCTTTTCCAGTTTTTAGCACCTTGATTGCATTCAGGACTTCTGATTTAGATTGTTGCGCTACAATTGCTTAGTTATATAAAACTCTCATTTCTCTGGTGTTTCTGACCACGAAGTTTTGGAAATTATTGCAATCCGTTTACTTTCGAACACTAAACCAGTGGATATAATATTGCTGACTACTAATACCTATAACAAACTGCTTGGCATTTTGTGACTTTTTAACACTAACTCATATCTGTAATTTTATATATTGTTTGTCTTTTTGAACCTAGTTAGTTCATCGTCCGATGATGGGGTAAGGTCTGACGTTTGAGAATACAAATTTCCAAACTGTATATCAGTGTCTAATTGGTTAACTTTAGGATCATAATCACTAAATTTGGGTCCTAGGGATAGTACCTGCAATTCAGATTTATTAAGCACGACACTGGAACTGACGAAAATTTCCTTTCAAGTTTTTGGCTTTCTAGAGATTTGACAAGGCTTATCCTTTTATTATTACTTCTGTTTACTGTTACGTTATTAACATATTCAGTGAACATCAGTTGTAATTCCTAAGGTAAATCATCAACTGAAAATTGTCTTTGTGATATGTTCCTTTCTAGGTCATTCATAAGAGTTTTAACAGAATCAATCTGATTAAGAGCACGTCTTTTTAAACTCT